CGCTAGATATTAACCTTGCTCGGGCAATGGGCTAAGATTTAACTCATTTAGCTGCTAAGTTTCTGGTTTCCAAGTAGGTTCAGTCCGCTCCTACTTTTATCCCATCAAGTTCTTTCTGAAGTGTGTCCACTGCTATAGCATGCTGTCGATGATAATCATCTTCGTCTTTCTGAGACAGGGTGAGATACGAAGATGGTACATGGACATAGTATATAGTATAGATACTATCCATTATCCTTTGGATAGTGGATATAACATGAAGATACCTGTATTTTGTCTTCAAGATAGTTCACCTTGCCAGCAAGCCTCTCAACCTCTCGACAAGCAGTTGCCTTATTGGTCTTCTCATCGACCAACTGTTTACTGCACTCCTCCAGAGCAATGCGACTTTCTGAAAACAGCATTCAACAAATCTATCTACTGTCGGCGACAGTCTTTTACGATACCGACCTTTAGTCTGCTGCTGCAGATCTTTGTATTCCTCTTCGAGGCAATGGAGCTGAGCTTGGGTCTGCATGAGCCGATCGTCCTTGCGCTGCATTTCGATTTTGAGAGTCTCGAGCTCTTGTTCAGAGTGGACTCTAGCTACCTTCTCATCGTGGAGTCTCTGACACGAACGGGGCAATAACAACTAGCTATGATATGATTTGATACTATGCTATGGTTCCCTTTCTCCTGCAAAACAGTTTTAGGTCTCAAAAAATACTATCGTTTTATGTTGTCGTAAAATATTTTGTCGTCGTACATTTTGCAGGATAATGAGGTAATTTTTAGGATCTAACAGCCAAATTGTAGAGCAAAGTTTCATTCCAACTTAAGTCGATGATCCCAGATTCGACTAACATTCCGCAGCGAGCAAACCTGTTCAATTTGAGGCATTTCTTTTTTAATTTTCTCTAACTCCTGATTGACCTCGTGAAATTTCTGCCTCTCCCCACTTGAAGCTCTCTCTAACCTGAATTGAACACCAGATAGACAACCATATCCTGAGGACATCGCAGTAATATCGTTACTAACCTAAGGTTAGTAACCTTTTCGAGAGGTGTTTAGATTCAGCCGCGGATCGTTCAGCCATCTGCACAGCCTTGGCACCAGAGACCTCCTGAAGACAACAAAATCCACTTGAAGATGATGAACGTGTACTACTACACTTGCCCTTTTTCGGTCATGATCTACTGTATGTAGATGTTTCTTAGAGCCTGACAGCACTGTGGAGTATGATGCAAACAGGTTTTCGGCGCACCACTGAACTGTCTCGCATTTTCGAGCTCCTCTGTGAGCTCTGCGATCCTTTCTGTCAAAACCTGCTGATTCCGTTCGTGAAATAATATCTGAAGGAATGTATCGTAGAGTTGATTCCGAGAAAGCCTACAAGAAACGGCGGTATTACTCATTTATCCCGATTTTGTTTAGCACGGTCTCTTCTGGAGGGAGTGGAATGACTCGACGATACAGAATTACGCATTAGCAAAATGAATCTCACAACGAGGGAAATTCCATGATGAAACAATACGTCATAGAGATTTTGTTGCTGGTGAAGATTGTAAGAAATCAAAGACCAGTTGCAATAGACCTGGTGAGCCTAAAAAATTGCTCTATAAGAAATTATGCAAGAAATAAGGCTGATCACAGTGGATCGGCTCTATAAGAAATTATGAAAGCAATGAGGCTGATCACAGTGGATCGGCTCAATTGAAAACTATGAAAGGAATAAGGCTGATCACAGTGGATCGGCTCTATAAGAAACTATGCAAGAAATGAGGCTGATCACAGTGGATCGGCTCTATAAGAAACTATGCAAGAAATGAGGCTGATCACAGTGGATCGGCTCTATAAGAAACTATGCAAGATATAAGGCTGATCACAGTGGATCGGCTCTATAACAAATTATGCAAGAAATAAGGCTGATCACAGTGGATCGGCTCTATAAGAAATTATGAAAGCATTGAGGCTGATCACAGTGGATCGGCTCAATTGAAAACTATGAAAGCAATGAGGCTGATCACAGTGGATCGGCTCAATTGAAAACTATGAAAGGAATAAGGCTGATCACAGTGGATCGGCTCTATAAGAAATTATGCAAGAAATAAGGCTGATCACAGTGGATCGGCTCAATTGAAAACTATGAAAGGAATAAGGCTGATCACAGTGGATCGGCTCTATAAGAAATTATGCAAGAAATAAGGCTGATCACAGTGGATCGGCTCAAACAAGCAAATACATATACACAAAAAGATCGTAGTAAAACTTACTACCCTCCCTTTTACCGCTTGAATAGCCTCTATCAGACATCTTCACGTCATTATCACTTTATCGTGGTGCCTTGAAGGAAGTCCGAACCCTTCCACATGATATCTATGATGATTCCGGATGTACGCTACATATAATGAACCTCATAATCTTAACTAAAAGCACGAGAAAGTTGTTCAAACTAAATCAATTTCATGAACACGCGCTGAGGATCTTGCGCTGATTTTTTTATGGGCGCGCGCTATTCCAACTGCGCAAAAGAAAACGTGAAAGACTTGAGGAATGAACAGGATGCCAACACTTGATGTGACGGCATGCATAGTAAGCTCCACTCTTCCCACTACGTGTTTCCAGCACAAACATGTGGTAGTTACACTATACTTGACATATTCTATCAGCATGGCAGTGACATGATACGTATGCACATGTTCTGTAGAAGCTCAACTAGGTAGAAGGGTTACGCACACAGCATGAACACATGCAGTCGTTCATAGAAGAAAAGAACAGACAAAAACCAACAAGCCAACACATGATAAAGTTACTATTCAAGCGTAAATTGAATATAAGCCCGTCGGCCTATGCCATTATCACCTCGAGTAAGTAATGCCAGGAGTTACGATAGCTAAACTGTTGATGACATCAACTTTGTATGCTTCATGATGGACGATCAATCCCCGAGGTAAGGTTCCGCTACGTTCACGTTTCGGTCCCCGTTTCCCGAACTCCGGTCCCGTGCTGAACGAATAGCAAGTACTTTAATATATATCAAGTCGAAAGAATAGGCATCAGCACAAGCATTGTTGTAGAGGATAATAATGTAACAACGTACATAACATCGAGGAATAAGTATAGGCTATATTATAGCATCAAGTCTCTCTTTTCCATTATCATTGGATCGTCATTATCCATTAAATGACGTACACAGTCACGTGATTAATGTTGAGAATTACTAGCTCGCTCGCTTCGCTCGCTCGCTCTTATTCTAAGCATTGCTGTTATAGCGTACACGGTTTTTATTGCATGGCTTAGCAAGAACAGCATAGAACAGCAGCTTTTGCTTAGATCAAATTTCATTGTCTGGACTAGCAGACTTTGCATAGATTAGACCAATTTTCCATAATTCACGAAGTCCGCACGCGTGAGGCTCACGCCGTGAGCAGACCGCACGAATTGTAGATCTTTTAGAACAAGAAGAACCTAAAACTCCGAAACGCATCTTCACGTCTTTGAAAAACTGGCCCGGATTTGAGGGAAACTTCCCAATCTTAGTCAAAACCCGCTTATAGAATACTCTGCTAGGAGATACAGGGAGTAGCTTCATTGTCGTTGTCAATTCTAACATAGCGACACCTGGGAGATTCAATGTGAATCTTTTACCTTCTGCGCATGATCACTATGACAATGCTATTTATGAAGTTGTTCTGTCGGTGGCGTTGGGACATCTTCTGTGTATAGACATATCATGAGTTGATATTGTATCTCTCTCTGTGTGGCAGCTGCGTAGCCCAGCACTGAGTTAGTCTGTATAAGACTGAGTAGAAGCAAGGCTTATCTATAAGTATTGTTGGTTATTCTCCGTGGGTCGGTAGACTTCTGTGTACTCCTTAAAGTTGCTGGGTTTACACTATACTCTATTGATTGGATAAACATTGGACAAGTATCTTCTTGTGTAACTAAGTATGGTAAATGGTTCTGGGCAAACGGCTGAGTCGACAGTGAATGGTACTCCACCAGCCAGGCAGCCCGGTTCAGGAGATCGTCTCGGCTCCCAACAGTGGTGCAGAGTGAGAATATGGCCGTCCTTAAGCAACAACTTGGTACTTATCGTCGCAAGCGCACCAATGCCTTGAATGCTATCAAGGATTTACGTCAGAGAATGGCCGACGAGGAACTCGGGAATGACGAGGGCAATGCTGAGACCCTACAGTCTCTGAGTCATCAATGGCAAAATATGAACCTGGCCGTTAAGTCCCTGGAAGACCTCGAAGAGCATTATGAACATCTCTTTGTTCTTGGCACTAAGATAGAACGTCCGTCGAGGTTGAGGCCGCCAGAGGTTCCCTCCGAGCAGGCTCAGAAAACATCTTGCAATGCTAGTCCGTCTATTTGGGGCGGACAACCAGTACGAGATTCGAGGCTTCGTGGAAGCTATGGTAGCGCGGATACCAGCTACACCTTTTAAACATCTAGTTCGTTTTTGGAACCATCAATTTCGTCGGAATGCGTGAAGTTGGAGGTACGAATCCGAAACGGGAAGATCATATTCATAATTATAACTTTCAACTTCGTCATAGAAGTTCTATGATAGAACATTCAAGTTTGTCCGAAGTCGATAGGAAGTTCAAGTTCGTGTTAATAGAACTTTTAATTTCGACTTTCGAACCTTCGAATTCGTCATAAAACTTTCAATTCCGTCGAGTGCACCTTCAGACCTTTAATTTCGTCCCTCTAGAAAAATCGACTTCGTTGCCCGGAACTTAAATTTCGTGTTATCGAGGCCGGTACAATACAAATCAGCACAACAGCACAACAGCGGAGTGCTGTTTTCTATTTTGGCTCGTAAGAACCGCACATGCTCTTATGTGTCTGCTGTTTTCTAAACGACAAAACAGCTCCAGCCAATTACAAAATCGCGCTGCTATTACACATAATAGCACTCTGATTTACATAAGCGCTCTGAAATTATGCAAAACCGCACTTCTGCTGAAACGCTCTTTTCTCTTAGCCAGAAATGCATTTCAGCATGTTTTTAGAACTTGCTCTTCTTCAATTTTCTTCTCGGCAGAAATACATTATGGCATACGCCCCTCTGCCACTTTTCTGCTCATTTCTATCTTTTTTCTCGCATTTTTTCTAAAACATCGGCGGGTAAGAGAGATTAACTTACCGGAAAGTACTACATTCTGGGAGCGTTTTTCCGCTACGGGAAGTATGAGTTCCTCACTGGGTGAGGTTTCATCCGCAATCATTCGGACAATTCTTTCACGATGTCCGTACTTACGCAGCTCTTCATTCCTTTTAGTCCTATTATATGCGAAATGTGTCCGTTGTGTGGTTTTTCTGCCGCTTTTCCTGTCATGCGCGTCCCACGCGCATACACATGGTCTTCATCTGTCTCTCACATCTGCTATGGAGTTCCCCTGCTGCGCGTGTTCCGCTATACTTCTGTTGATACTACGTTACATAGATGTTCTACACGTACTGTGTTCACGCAACAACAATGGCTCGAGAGGTAAAGATGAGAAATCATGATTGCGCTGCAGTATCATGCCCAGAAACTTTGTTTACACTGTACGTTCAACATACATACACTTAATGCTTCTCCTTCACTCCGCATAACTCCGACATCTTGTCTAAGAGATTCCAAGACTGATGGGAGATGAAACGCTTTCTCTCATTGCTTGCTGAAACCGGCGCCGTTTCCCCCGGGTCGATCGAATTAAGCTCCGCATTTGAACGGATCAGCACGTTCTTCAATGCCTTGATAAAGAGCACAGTTTTGGGATTCCTTTTCGATACGATTTCATTTAGATATCTGACCGTGAGAGAACCCGGTAAAATCAGAGAGTGTCACAGGCTCACTGATTCAAGTTGAGTCATTCAACCGTAATCACTACCTGTGTAACCCTTCCAACGGGTTAGTCGTCCTTTGAGCATAGGCGTCATCTGAAGGAATCGAACACCACTCCGCTGGAGGAAACGGCCCGTCCAACTTCATGTAGACTGAGTCGATGTAATCGACTGCTCGTGACACGTCACCTCCTTCAGGCCTTGAGTTTTCCAACTTGTTCCACATCCTTGGTGGAATTCCAACTAGAATTTTTCCCGTACTCCCTGAGCACTGTAATGGACACCCCAAAGGTTTTGGACTGCTTCCTCCACTATCCCTGCAACTCTGCTTTTAACGGCCTCCAATATGACCAAAGCAGATGACGAGTCAATTTGAAAGTGTGGTTCCAACGTTAACCACATAAGAGGCTCGCGTCTCCGGGAGGCCAGACGCCCTCCAGCTTGCAAGTCACTTGTGGTCAAGCCCAGCTTTCGCTTCAACAGCGCATTAACATCGTTCCTGACAACCTGAGGTAACCTCATAATTACTCAACCGCCCGAACTCATCGCAGCAAATCGCACTTTCGTCCTAGCCTCCGAGACCCGCGAGTTCATGAATCTCATCAAACCATAACCGGCGAAGTCGCCAACTTCCACCACCTCTCCCTCATCTATGCCGAGAATCCGCTTAACGTAACTTATAAATTTCAGAATGCAGGGAGATGCATTACTCTAGTCACTACTTCACCATCCCCACCGACGTTTGTTGTTGCCCTGCATTATTTCACAACTGCTCGAGGCACCCCGAGAAGGTTTCGGCTTGGAAGGTGAGATGAGATCCTTTAAAATTTTCCCTAACAATCCAATTTACTTACATTAATGAGGCGCGCTGACTCTGTCACATTCTATATACACTTGATTTCAAGTTTTCGAAACGCGGGAATCAAGTGCTCAATAACTGTACTATTTCCTCGGAATCTTTTCCGTTGACGCTCGCAACGATGGCATACATAACGCTGTAATGAAGTAAAATCCACAGCCTCATCGGCACACCCTGCAATATGGATTCTCATACCACACGAGTCACAATCGGCCATCGCCCCAAAGTCCCTCCCAAATTGCAAATACGACAGCAGATTGGTTTAGGCATAGGAACCAAGTAACGAAACTGATCATGAAAAAATTTCCCATTGGAAGACAAGCAAACGTCGACGCACGGCGAGTAATGTAAATTTTACAGTTCTTATCTCCGTTCACTAGTTCATGCCGTTCAGCATCGAGCGTACGCCTAAATGTATTGATGGAATCAGCGTAGCTTTTGCAATTCCCACTCGTTGCGTCATCGATGCACCATTGTTGGGATGCCGACATCTAACCGCATAGTCAACGAACCTTTTCTCGCGGCCTTTGGACGGGTGGAGTCTAGGTTCCATTTACACGGTCTGCCCTCTCACGCGCTCCCTCCGGGTGGCTCACTCCTGTGAGAGGGACGTGAAGACACTTGGTCGCTCCTTCCGGTTCTTTGTACCCACGGCTAGCTTGGCCGTAGTTTTTCTTTAGGAATCTATCACCTTGCATGTTTCTGTAATTGCTGCCGACGTTGTTTCACGACTTTTGCAGAACGGCACGAGCAAAAACAAGAGTAAATACGCGCAAAAGTTTTGCGGCAAAACTATGGTTTTTCATTCCGCCTGGTAGACTGTGAGTTTTGTCGCTCCGAGCGACTCGCTCGGAAAATGCGAGGTTCGACCCCCGGTTCCTCCATTTTTCCGCCTTTTTTTATTTGCTTCATTGTTGTCGGCGGAATTATTTCTTGCCTAGAAAAATGAAAACTTTTCCGCAAGAAAAAATTCGCCAGCGCGCGTTTGGGAAACCCTGCGGCCAAGGCATTGCGCGCCTTGAGCAATCTACAACGCGCCATCCGCGAGATTGTGCGCGGCTGCAATCAGCTACAGTACTCTAGAGCGAGAGTTGACCACAGGCGTGCGATATGCCGATTATGCAGCCTGGGGGAAGAAGAGGATTCCACGAGAGAGCTCCACGGACTATTACGTGGTCTACAAATCCCCTCTGCTACCATCCGATCTAGTTCAGTTTTCGTAAACTGCATCTGGCTCTCTGGGATGGTATAAGGAGTACAATAGGTGGGTGATAAGCCGTCTCAATACGGTGTTTGTGCCCCTCAATCTCACGGAATATTCCACCTGCCAGATGGAAGGCTCGGCAGTATTCAGTTATGATCAACCTCGATCAGCCCGTTGTTCAGCAAATAGATCCTTACATTCCTCTAACTTTATGGCAAGGCCATAATGGCTTTGACCTCCTCAGCCGCGTACTGCTCATACCCCCTCGGCCCAGTTCGATCTCCTGTAAGCGGAAAATCACGATCAGGATCACGAAAAATTCCCTCACGGCCCGTGAGTCACGGGCCTCATCCAGCTTCTCTTTCTCCTTTCTGAGCTCAGCAACTTGAGAGGCGGAGGCTCTTTCAACACCACCGTTGGCAATCCGGCCTATGAGCTCGTAGCTTCGTAACGGCATTGTTTTGGGGATGTGTTCGCCACGAGGACGTTGAAAGAGCCAAAACTTACAGATGACGTATCAATCGGACCGTCGACCATAAAATATTTCCCATTCCCATTGCTACAAACACCTTTTACCCATAGATTGTCCGATAGTAATACATGTTGTTGGGAGAAGCACACATTTGCTTCATTGACCCCAGGCTGGAAGAGAGTAGAAAAACTACACCGAACGAGATCAACAGTACTCATAACCGAGTCGCTTCGTGATCCCGATGTACTCTCCGAACAGCCAAGTACAGTACGCCAGTGATTGTGGCCGGTCGAACAATTCGATTACACAGTTGATACGAGCATTGGGCAGAGTGAGTAGTTGATGCCCAGTATCAGGGCCATTGGAGTCATAATCACAGGACATTCTCTCTTC